TAAAAAGATAAAAAAAAGTTATAATCAAATATAAAAAAAAAAAAGTTATAATTAAAATTTTAAAATAATTTCATAATTAAAGAAAAAAATTAATCATAATTAAAATAAATAAATAAATAAATAAAGAGTAATTAAGTGTGTAAATGATATGGGACAAGTATAATAGAATTCTCCATAATTTATATATAGAATAATGTGATGGTGTTAGAACTTAAGAAAACGTTATGATGCACATTCTTCAAAAAGTGTATGCCATATTGTAACAACCCCCATACTGTTTACTGATTAATGACTGCTTGATTACCGATAATCACCGATTACTGTTAAACGAAACGGATAATGACTGATAACTGACTGATAATTGAACTGATTAAAAGTACTGAACTGACTGACTGAAATTGGAAACCGAATTGATTGAGTATATGTTAGTTAAATTGCATTTCATCTGTTGACAGTATGATTATCTGTTCATGTTCATATGTTTAAACTGCTAATTGAAGGCCTTATCGGCGGCCGAATCCGAAACCGATTAGTGTTCTATGACCCTTATAATTTATGTGATTTTATAGTATAATTATCTGAAAATTGATTAGGTATGATTAAATTAGATTAAATAAGCTAATTAAAGAGTTGGACTTAATTACCGAATTGCCACCCTTAGTGGTCCACTCAAATGCACACACTTGAGCCTTGTATACACTTCAATCAGAGCATTACATCAGCTCATTTCTTGAGCTTAACCGACCAAGAGAGGGAAAGGGAGAGGAATTGAGTTCTACCTTGTGAATTGCTTGGAAATTGAAGGAATTGGAACATAGGTTGCAAATTTAACTTCCTCACCTTGTAACTAAAGCTCTAGGTAAGGAATTCAACCCCTCTTTGTTGTGTTTTTGAGCTCATTCATGTTAGATTCTTGAGCCTCTAGTGATTCAAGTCTAGAATTGGTTCATTGTGTTGATTTGGAACTCATTTCATGCATGCATGTTTGTAATGTAGATATTTGAGTTGTTTCCATGGCAAAAGGTTACATGCATGTCCATCTTTTGGTCATACCCCATGAATTCATCATGTTCTTGAAGAAATGAGTCCATTTGAACAAGCTTTGAAGATTGAATTTGGTTTGAATCCATGCATGTTTGCATGTTTTTCATATTTTTGAAAATGGGTTTGAATGTGGTTTTAATTGACTCACCTTTGGGGCTTGAATTCATAAATTGAGCTTTGAAACTTGTTATACATTGAATTTAATGATGTTTTCCAGAATTTGGGCCCAAGAGGTCGAGTTTGGAGTGGTAGAATGCTTGGTTTGAGCTTGGGAGGCAGATCTGGAAATTCCAGATTTGGCTTCCTCGCTCGAGCAAAGGATTCCTCCTCTTGCCATCTCTATTTCTCACTTTATAGTTACTTGCAATTAATTCTACTATCCACAAGAAGGAGATAATAAGCTATCAACTATGACAGCTCCAAAGTAACTTATGCGCGAATTAGGCTAAAGAGTCTAATTCAACACAATGCTCTCACAAGTGATGCGTCAAATTCTTAGAGTCATAACAACCTTGTCGGTCTTGACCTTTTCATCACTATGCCGCAACGTTTGCGCTTAGTGTTAAAGTTATTAAAAAAAAACGTTGGCCTAGCTAAGGAATTATACAAAGAAGCCCCTCCTCATGTCTCACACTCAAGTGTGGAAACAGTAAGTGTCCAGACTTAGACAAGTTGGCAATGCTAATAGATTTTGCAGCCACTAAGCGCTAATCTTTTCACTTCACGTGATATTTCAACGCACACTATTATAGTGCATGAAATTTTGCTCCATCCAGTGCCAATAATTGGGTAGAGAGCAAAACACTGCTCATATTGGCTACTCGTCTTACACTTAATGACTAATTTATTTAAGCTCGTATTTCTTGGATGACGTGACTCTTGAATGTTACTTCATCCAATGATGTAACATTATTTACAAGTCAAATTACAAAGTCAATCCGCACAGCTCAATAGTCAAGATTATATACAGATCTATTGAGGGCTTACTAATTTCATAACTCCAAAACTCGCCAACCAAAACTACGTAGCGTGCCGCTAACCATAGCGCACACATTAGTTTTTATTATGCCAAACAAGGCAACAAAAAAAAAACACGGCGACTTTGAGTCATGTTTCCTTACATTGGCTCAATTAAGGTTTGACCTAAAGTCTCCAAGACTTTTCTCATCTAAAGAAAGGGATTAGTTTGTTCACATTTGAACATCTCTACTAAGTCTAGGTCAACCAAATTACCTTCCATAAGCTAAATCAATTTAGAGAGAAATTCGCATTGGGATTAATTTGATTAGCATAATATAATTTTGCCGCAAAAATCTAAATGAAATAGTGACAATATTACACAAGTGGCAAGATCGAAAATCCGCTATGCTCGTAATCATCTCTTGCGCCACAAGTGACAATTATCCAAAATTTAGTTTAATTTATGCGCCAAATATTGGTTTTCGGGAGTTAATCTACAAAGATTTCTCTCAACCGAATAACCTCCCACTGACTATGGCATATACAAAGCATGATAAATTCCATACAATAGCATCTTAATGTAAATTTACAAATAACTCATGCTATATCATTTAATAATGGAATTCTAATAAATAAATAAATAAACATGCTCTTCTAATTACAACATATTACAAACCCAAAAAAATATGCTGTATTCAATATTCAGATTATGCCATAATTAAAATGTACATTGTTCTGAAATATTCTGAAATTTTTCTGAAATATTCTGGAATTTTAAATGACTAATAAATACACATAAAATTAGAAATAAAAAATCCAGAAACTAGTAAACAGAAACAATATTCAGATTATGCCATAATTAAAATGCATCATCCTGAAATTTTCTGGAATTTTTCTGAAATATTCTGGAATTTTAAATGACTAATAAATACACATAAAATTAGAAATAAAAAAACCAGAAACTGATAAAATCAGACAATATTACCAGTAGATATTAAAACATTTCAGAAGTCCACAATAAAAATTTCAACCCCAGAAAATTATTTATGCAATACCAGCATCATTTTAAAGCAAAAATAATGCATTATTATTTCAGGAAAAATATTTTTATTTTCATAAAATTTTCAAAATTTTAGAGAATGTAGAAAAATTAATTCTGAGTCTAACGGTACCAACCATGCTTAAAACAAAGCTATAACGAATAAATTATGACCAATTAACGCAATTCAGAATTAAAAAACAAACAAACAGAGCCTTAGAGCCAAGCCAGGCGGGAAAAACGGCTCGGCTCGGCTCGGCGCCGCTCAGCGCAACTCGGCGCGAGTCGGCTCAAGGAACGGCTCGGCGCGGCTCGGCGCGCGGCTCAGACGGCGCGCGTGCGTGGACAGCGCCGCCGACGCGCGCGTGATGGCGCGTGCAGGCGCGTGCGGGCTCGTGACAGCGCGTGCGGGCGCGTGACAGGGCGTGGGAGCGCGTGGCTGCAGCTCACGGCGTCAGGTGGCGCGTGCATACCACGCGCCGCCTTCCAGGGTGTTTTCTGGTCCCATTTTTGTATTGCCAGACTCCATTTTCCAAAATAAAATCATTTATGCTCTTAAAAATGACATTAATGATCATAAAAATGAAATATTTTTATGCTCCTAATCTGATAAAAATTTTTTTCTTCCTCTACAAATATTCATGTGTATGATATCACCCCACTGTTGGGATTGATTGATCTGATTCTGGAAGCACGTGATTTATCCACGAGGTTCAATCACCTAAGAGGTATGATCTAAACATTTTATTCCGCTGTATGTTTTGATTTACATGAACTATAAGGTGGGCTCCATTTCTTGTGAGAGAAGTCATGGGTCCTATACAGAATTTCTCACTCAAAATTAATTTAAATAGAAATATTATCACTATTTTTCGTAGTAAAATTGAAATCAAACATATATATATTGGATCGGGCCTGATATACAAATATAGTGAGGCTTAACGTTTACCGAGCTGAGTAAACACAGCTTTTACAAGGTGGACATAAGCCCATTAGTTTCTGGACCATTGACCAAATCCAACCATGGTTATCAGAATCCTGATCCGGATCTTACGATCCTACGATCTTACGATCCATTTGAATACAATCGATCCGAATCGTGTAAAAAATTCCTTGTAGGTAGGATCTTTCGATCCTGGTAATGAGATCTTATAGGATCGTGGAATCTCGATCCGAATCCGATCCTATCCGATCTGATTTACAAGCCTTGTTTGTATTGTATGACATATTTTATTGTAAATTTTATGTTTGTTGTCTAAATACTAATTTATGTGATCAAAACAAATAATAAAAAATAAATAGTATTGAATCAAATAGACTAAAAAAAACAAATTAGGAAATAAACATTCAAATATTGCGGTAATTTAAGAAAATTAACGAGTTGAAAAAACAAACTTAGCTTTAGCAGAGTTTACGAAGGGTAAGATGATTGCAACTTTATCCCAATTTTTGGAGAGATTATTTTTGTGACTCGAATCCTCTTCACCAGGGATGCTAACGACAAATCTTATCATTTGGTTGAGCTGTTCTTTTGAGTTCTTAATCTATTTTCATATCCAACTTTTTAAAATATTTTTTCTTCACTTTTTATGCATTATTATAGATTGTAAAGTATTTTATTATAGAATTCTTTTTCTTCATCTTTTTTTTTGATGAAATACAAAACTTTTACCATTGAATTTGATATTGTATAATATTATATGTACATTTTACATGAATTATTATATTTTTCACCACGTCTTCATTTCTTTTTAATAGAATATAGACTTATTTTGTGTATACTTTCAAGAAATATTTATTTAAATGAAATTATTATATAATTTGTCTTTTTCGGTGTAGAATTTTACGATTCTCGATCCGATTTTATGATCCGATCCTATAAACGCCTTCAACAATCCAACGTGAAATCTCGATTTTAACAACATTGAACTCAACTTATCTACAAAACACACCCATCATGGGGAGTATGGTCCATACGGGTTGGCCCGAACTGCCCCTTTGCACAAACAAATACAAAAACCCCGAGGAAAACTCTATCCGAAAAGAAGCTCCAAATTCTCGTGAGAAATCGAGAGAGAAAATGGCGATGGTGAGGTCGTTGTACCGCTCGATCTGCTTCAGATATCTCTGTTCTTCTTCTGCCGCCGTCAACCACCATCAACACCTCCCATAGGGCCTCTACTATTTCCATCTCTCTCTCTCCTCCTCCTCTCCCCTTTCCATTTTCTCCCAAAACCATCCATTCCGGTACCTTCTCACTCTGTTCCTCATCTTTCTGCTTTTACCCATATATCTAAACCGGTGCTTTGTTGATTGAGACTAATCTGAATACTTATACATATTATTCTTCTTTTTAGGGCAAGAATTTATGTATTTATGAAATTTAGTGTGCAATTCTTTTGAGCGCTTCACCTGTTTGATTATATGTCTTGTTGACCTATTAGTTTAGTGCACTCTAATCTAATGTCCACTGTTCCTAATTTTTTTTTCTTTTATTTTTCTATTTAAGTGGAATTACCTCCTTTCTCATCCATCACCCAACATTCCATTCCCTTAGTCTGGGGACATTTTTTTTTAAAAATGTTTTTCATCTAATTCATTTATTTCTAGTGTTTTATATTTGTATTTTTTCATCCTATTTTACTTTTTTATATGCTTACGAATTTAGGAAGATGCCTCAGTGAAAGGAAAAAATTTAAGAAAAAGAATATATAAAAAAAAATAAATTAGAATCACTTTGGATCACCAACTAAATTTATCATTTTTTGAAAAATATTCTGGATTTCAAAACGCGCGGTCCATAGCATAACACACCCGGGTATTAACGTTTTATGGTAGCACTGGTTCCATGGTTGAAGCTGAGAGGATGATAAGTAGTGAGACAGAGTTCCTTGATAAACAAAATAACATGTGCATTCCTATGCTGTCTCACTGCTAGTTTCTGTACATCTTTACTCATATGTTATTTTCATATTCAGCTACCCTTTTTCTGAATTATGGTCTCATATTGAGACATACAGATTGCCGGCCTCCTTTCACAATGGCCATTGGAAGTACACGCTTTTTTAGTGAAGATGTGAGACTTTCCTGACATAAAAGACCCTGAAATTCTATTTGTTTTTAAGGACTTAACGGCTGCAAGTTGGGATGAGCTTCCAGATACACTCATCAGTGATGCAAAAAAGGCGTTGTCTAAAAATACAGACGACAAGGCTGCCCAAGAAGCTGTGGCAAATGTTTTCCGTGCAGCTGAGGCAGTCGAGGAGTTCAGTGGGATGCTTGTGTCTTTGAGGATGGCAACAGATGACAGCACTGGATTGGGTGGCGAGGTGACATAAATTATATGGGGAGAATGACATTTTTTTTTTTGGTCTCTCAAGTTCTTGTGGTCTAATGATTTAAAATTTTGCTACTTATTGTAGAATGTAAAACCCTTGCCGGAGGAATTTGTGAACACATTGCGTACAGTCTATCAAAGATATACTCCATATTTGGATGCTTTTGGGCCAGAGGAGACCTATTTGTGTAAGAAAGTTGAGACTGAGCTTGGAACGAAAATGATACACTTAAAGATGAGGTGCAGTGGTATTGGTTCTGAGTGGGGAAAGGTATTGTAGTTTTTGCACATTGCTTTCTTGTTACTACGTTTATTTAGAGCACTCCAGTCCAGCCATACCATAATATGTAAGTTTTATGAGAGCCTATTTTGCTTGGTGTGTAAGATTTAAGGTGCTACATATTGTGGGCACCTAACCAATTACTATATTTCTTTTGAAACAGACATGAAAGCAAGCTAAAGTAATCATCAAATCGTGTTTACAATCAGCTTGTCTTTTAACTTACGTGATCTGTACATAATTGCACATATCCAATAGTGTATAGTGCTAGTTTGGGCTTATGTTGGAGTTTGGGAAAGTTTAGACGAAGATTAATTTTTCAGGAAACTTAGATCATTTGTTTTGTGGGAAAACCCCTTCCTTAAATAGTTGTGTTGTCTTAAAAAACTTTACATACTGAAATAAGTCAATAGCCTTGAGCTGCTCCCTTTTTTTGCTGTACATGAAATTGGTCTAGATGAAAGGGTAGCTTTGCCCAACAACAGTAATGCTTGTCGTTAGCGTCCTTGATGCTATGGATTCTAGTCGCAGAACAGTCTGTCCGAAAATGGGGTAAGGTTGCATACATCTGCCCTTGTGAGACCCCGCTTTAGCGAGAACCTCGTGTACTAGACTGCTCTTTTATGAAATCGGTCTAGATCCTTAAATGCAGGTATAGTGTGACAAAGTCTTGACCACTAATTACACCAAATGAATATCAGCTATCATGAATTTTACAACTCATGCCTGTAACCGTTCTTTTGTGCAATATTGTGAAGAATATAAAGTAGCTTGTTTAATTATTGAATCAGTTTCTGTTCTGATTGCAGGTTACAGTTCTGGGGACTTCTGGACTTTCAGGTTCCTATGTTGAGCATAGAGCTTAGTTTCTTGGAGATGGTTAAAAGCATCATGTCTTCATGTTGTCTTTTCTCTTGGGGAACTTCATTCATGTTTGTTCCTCTTTCAGGCATTTTACTGGTGCTGTCATTACTTTTTAAATAAACCCTGTTTGATCTCATGTGCTTTGCTTCTTTTCTTTTCTTTATTTTTTTGAATGAAGTTTGGTGAAACTAATAATTACAACTTAATGTTGCACATAACATCAGAAAGCTCGTGGTAGGAAATTGGTTTCCTTGGGGTTAGAAATGTTTGTTTGCCATTAGTTTGTCCTGTCATTTTGAGCCATTGTTGAGTATTTGTATTTCATTGTTTTTGATTACCTTATGTAGGAAGATTATAGCATCATCTAGTATTAAATAAATACCTTGGCTGGGATATTATATTATGTTGATGAAGGGTGGTGCAATTAAGGAAAATTGTACGCAAACAAGAAAATTTTATACTACAAAAGGCCTATCCAGAATGACAAGGCTCGATTTGTAATAATAATAATAATAATTATAAAAAAAAAAGAAAAAAGAAAATAAAGAGGTAATGCAAATGGTGATATGTTTTTTGTTTTTGCTTTTTTTTTATCAGGGTGCAAAGTTTTAAGGGAAACTTGCATTTCAATGGAGTGGAGCAGTGTCAAAAAAATTATATTTTTATGATGGTGTAACTCTTCTATCTGCATGGTGTAAATTTATTCTTGTGCTTTGCAATGTGTCAGAGTTGCATCAAAAAAAAAAAAGAAAAGAAAAGAAAAAAAAGGTTCATTTTTAGTGCACTTATTTTGTGATTGTCTCATGTATTTACAATTTTACCAAGTTTTAATGTTTATTTTTATTTTTATTGAGGCTTGTCTCAATAATAAGGTAAAACGCATCAAGACTTTGATTTTTATGCCATACTCCCCAAAGGTTTCACATCATAGTTTAAGACATGTGTCTTTTATGCGTATGCATATGAGTGCGTATACGAAGAGGTTGCATTAGGCTATTGTTAAACATGGTTTAAACATAAAAAGGTAAAAAATAAACAGTATTCCTTTTACAATTATATTTTGGCGTTGGCTTCTGTCCAGTCCTTAATCGGACTGGACCGTGCTGTTGGGCCCGTGGGGGTCCACCACGGGTCTCGTTTTGATAATCTGAACCGTTCAATGTGTAGAACTCGTCGAGTATTATAAGCCTATAAAAAATCACGTTAATCGGATATCGTTAGCTATGTGATCAAATTAGTTTTGTATAAAAAAAAATGGACGATGAATCCGTCCATTTTTTTTTTTATACAAAACTGATTTGATTACATAGCTACCGATATCCGATTAACGTGATTTTTTACAGACTTATAGTACTCGACGAGTTCTACATATTGAACGGTTTAGATTATCAAAACGGGACCCGTAATGGGCCTCCACGGGTCCAACAGCACGGTCCAGTCTGATTAAGGACTGAACAGAAGCCAAGCCCTTATATTTTATAGTAGTAAACGATCAATTAAGAAAAAACCACAATTAATACTCAAGTGAGAAGCTCAATTGTCAAAACTAATAATATTAATTTCACTTTCAATAAAGGTAAATTTCTTTCTCTACAGTGTAATATTCAATGCCTTGAGAAGAAAAGTATTTAAATTTTTAACATTTTTTAAAAATATTTAATTTATTTATTAAATATTAAATTTTAAAATTTAAATGCTCACGCCTTGACATCTTAAGATATGCCTCGCCTCATAAGAGGTCAAACGCATCAAATTACACATTCAGCTTTAAAAACTTTGATCAGATGCTGTTATTTGCAAATTTCAGTTGGATGTATATTTGTCGAAATTATATAAACATAGCTTTGTTGACATGATAATGGATGATGATGACATTTTCTACAAGATGGTTTTAGACTTTTTAGTGCTATCATGCACTCACCAAAGCACTCTTCTCTTCAACAAATAAGAGTTAAGTGGATGAAACTGCTCATTCGCAATGGAAAGGTATATTTCTTTTTCAGTTGCAACTCAAATCTTCTTTTATGCATTATTACATTAGGAAAATGTCAACACTAAATGCACTTTTTATTCTCACATTATTTTGCAGTCATGAACTACAGGAAAACATCATTTCATCAAGGTAGCTTCCCCAGTCTAACACCTTTACGCCATGACCATGACTCCGATGGAGATTTGGGCAGAGGTGGAAGCAACAGTGCCTTCCGGCAGAGACCAAAAGGCCACCCCTTACAGTGACAAAACTCTTGAATAATTGAGCGCCGACGCAACAATTCTTGATAATCAATGCCATGCCAGAACTCCTGAACGACAAAGGGCCTGAAATCGCGACAATCAAGCCTGCTTAAGCTTGAACACCGAGAAAATTGTGTCTTCACAGACAAAAATTCTTCCACACTTGTAACTGTCGAGCAGCGAGAGAGACAACTGCCAACAGAGAAGAAGTCCTCTTTTTCTTCATGATCACCGTCCTCATTTTTTTGCATTGACTTTGGAGTTGTGAACAATTCTACGGTACTTGGAGAGATGATCCAGTTAAAGCTATCCATCGAAAAGCTGGCTTTACGTCTTGTTTTTGCTTCCATTGCTCTGCTTCGAATCTCTGAAACAACTACCTGAAAGAAAGATCATACCCAGTAAGCTTTTAACCCAAAAAAAGACAAGTATGTTGCCAGAAAAATGATCTTGAACTTGAATGAGCCTTTGGGATTTTAGAAACTACTTCTTGATCATCATCCGCATTGCTCCCTGAATCCTCTTCATCCGCGTTTCTTGAAGAAATCCGTCCACGGCACGTTTGGCACTTGGCAAAAGCATCCTTGAGGGTTGAGGTGAGGAATTTGCATCTGCTAGTGGGATTTGGTGGCTCCTCATGATAAAGTAAGCTCATTGTTGGAGAAAGTTGGGTGGAAATTATTGATGGGTTTGTGGGTTAGAATGATATTATTATGTACAGAAGTGAATATTTATAATTCATGTTTGGTTTGATGTGAAAATTGAGATCTTTCGTGCGATAGTGGCCTCTCAGCTTATCCCAATATTCTGCACTTCTATCCTTTGGGGTAAAGACTACGTTGAAACAGGATAAGAAAGTTTTAACAAATTACTTATAAATTTCGCTTGAGCATCTGATCGTTATCAGAGTAGAGAAAACAAATGCATAAATAAATGAACTGAATTTATTTAAGATGTGCTCATTTATTAAACGAATTTAAATGATTCGAACTTGTTTATTTATTTAATGAAATGAGCTTATAAACAACTTGATTAATTTGCAGCTCAACGAAGTGACAAGTTGATGTATGCATTTGTTGCTATTTTACCATGCCTGCTTGAGGTGCCACATTTGGAGATTTTGAGTTTCACTTAAAGCTTAAGATAAGAGTAAGCTAGACATGGCACCAAACCATCACTTCTACTCCACAAATTTCATAAAAATAATAATACTCCCTCAATATAAGCTTAATCTAAAAGATCAGAAAGTAACAAAATGGTTGTTTGGTATACATTCTAGGAAAACTGCAACAATATCACTACACTCTTTTAAGTACTAAAACCATTGCAAACATGAAGTGTGGCCTACGGTTGCCACTTTTAAAAATCTATCATTCACAAAACCAAACCAAATTATACAAATTAATTCAGTCCAGACTAAATAACGGTTCAATCGTTTTTTTCATTTCAGGGCATTTTTATCTAATGTTGATTCATATCCTTATTGTTTTCTGATGTTCTCTTAGCCGGTCCAAATGTAGACAATTATTTCTAATCCACAATTTAGAAGGATCCACAACACCCAATCTCAAATGGGTAGGTCTCACCTTGTGAAAAAAAGGCAGCCCCAAACTAAAACCAAATTCATTAGAAAAAAAGGAAGAAAAAAAAAATAAAAAGGAAGAAGAAGAAGAAAGAATAATCATTACACTGATCTGTGTCTATATACGCGTACAAATGACAAACAATATTCTTAAAGAAACAACCAACAGAAATTGCCTACATCAAAACCCGTATAGACAGCCAAATACTAAAAATTTTGGCAAAATATCAGCACCAATGCATTTCCAGTTTTTGGATGTTTTTCCCAAACTGAAAGACAGCCTCAAAACACCTACTCTGCCATTTGAAAAGAGACAACAAAAAATAGACTGTTAGATCATTGATAAGAAACGATCATCAGCCAAAATAAATTAAGCAAAACCTATATCCTATATTACAGATGATTGTTGGTTTGAAGCTTAATATCTGCATTAATCAACAAACGGACTTGTAGAGAGCAAGAACCACAAGAAAGAATAATTGATGAAGGCAAAGTAGCATCTGATATATGTAAAGAGATCTTGCTCCCATCCCTCAATAATTGATACCCCATCTCCTCCAACTCAGAAGAATCAATGGAGAAGTAGTCACCACATAGGCACTGGTAAAAGAGCTCCAAAAATTCTCCAGTATTTTCAACCATCAAATCCTCTAAACCAACATCTTCTGCAGCTACAAAATCATGCCTTGATGCTTGTAACTCACTATCATAAGCCACGCGCGACTTTGAGTTGCTGAGGATTTCCCAAGCCCTCTGCACCTCTAGAAATCTATTTCCCGACTCATGGTTGGGAAAGGAAGTCTCGGATGTCTTTTGCAATTTATCTGGATGGGAATCGAGGATGGCGGACCGATAGCTTGTACGGATTTCTTCATAGTTTGCATCTTCCCTCACACCTAGAATGTCATAATGGGTTTTACCCATCAATTTTTTGCCTAAAAGCATGGTTGAAAATCGCAAGTAGCTTGTAACAAACCACTTCCACTGCGAATGCACAAAACATTTCACATTTAACTTTTTTTTTGAAATATACATAAAGGAACTGCACTAAAAATTAAAATAACTAAATCTTAAATAAAGTACTGATGAGAACAATATTATAATTCTAACAACAATATTAACATCCCAAGGCAAGCAATTGAAGACAAATTGAGAGACAAAAGCAGTTCAAGACTTTCCAAGAACAATAAACAGTTCAACAGAACCAAAGGAAGCAATAACTTCAAAACACACACACACACACTAATGCTAATGCGCTGATTGGTGTTGGGAAATTGTAGTGGAAATGGAAAAGGAAAAGAAAATGAGGAGGAAACCAGTTTCCTTTGGTATTTTCCCTACTACTTAAAATACTAAAAATTCTCTAAAATTATCGGAAATCATGAAAAATAAGAGAAATGACATCTAAAGTAAAAATTCTCCATTTTGTTATCTGCTTCTTCTTTTCCATTATACCTAAACAAGAAAAAATGCTTTCATTTGTCTCTTTTCCCTCACGAAATCCATGATCCAAATGAAGCAAAAGCAATTGTAGACTTCACTGCATTTTGCGAACAATCATCACAAATTTGCTAGGTGAGCCATGAGTTTCCAAATTGAAGCTACCTACCTAGCTATTGCACACCGCTAAGCTAACTATTACAATTTACAAGCATGACACATGATTTGAGCTCAAAAGGATTCCAAACCAAACCTTATTGAACAACCTATCCACTTCCATAGAAGATTCTTAAAACAATTCCTTTTCCATCTCTGCCCCGTCCACCCATCCATTTCAGTTTTCTTTTCTTTTAGTCTGTGTTTGGTTAATGGATTTTGGGAGATTTCATTCCCATTTAACCTACCTTATCCCTTTTCCTTTTCAAATCCATGAACCAAACACAACCCTAAGAAAAAAATTAAAATAAAAAACATATAAAGCACAAAACACAGATAAACAAAGAAGTAAGCATAAATAAACAACTTCATGACTTGCCTAAAAATGGGTTTTTGATTGTTGAGGGAACAACAAAAAAATCAATTTCTATTAATCCACAAATTGAAAGACATTCTTTTTCCCAGAATGAATCAATATATAAAGGACAGAAAAATCAATCAATAATTTTTTACAATCAAACCCAAAAGCAAAATTAACATTAAAATAAGAAACAGAGAGGTCACAATCATGCTCGTCAAATTTTAATTCTAGAATTCAAGAAGAAGCTAGGCAATACCCGACGGCTGCGATCAGCTGCTGGGAGTACTGGCGGCTGAGGTCTTCGTCACGATCGATGAAAAACGAAGAAGAAGACGGACGACGGAAGAGAGGCTGAAAAATTGACCTAGTTTTTTAAATTGGGTATTTTTATAATATTGATAAGGTTTGGGGTAAATTGCAGAAATTTGGATTTCGGTAAATATTACAAAAACAATAACCAAAAATTAATAATGTAATTATAATAGAGGTGTGATTTTGAAAAATAATTACACTAGTGAAATCTTTATTTATTATCAAATGGTGGTGTAGATATCCCATTTTAATCGATATTAAGACTTGAACGTTTCCTTCCAAACACCTGACAATGAAAATTAAAATATACTACCTTATAAATTTCTCAGTAAGAGACCTGAGTTCTAGCCTTAATTCCATTCTCATGCTCATTGACTAAATTATTTTAAACTTATTCAAAACTTCCTGGGCATCCCACAGGTGGCATGTTCTATTATTTATATTTATCAAACATAGGATTTCGAATTTCATCTTCAAATTTTAGTTTTGAACATCAAGTTTTTAATTATTACTAGTTAGAGGGCCGCGTGCAAGGCACGTTAACTAATGCCCAGCTAGTGCCCATTACATATGTGTTTTGAACTGAAATTTATAAACATATTGGGCTTGTTTGGTTTGTATTTCAGAAACAATTTTTGAGAGAAAAAAGTACCAAAACACGTTTGGCAAACCTGTTTCTGAAATATTCTCTGAGACTCATCTCAGAACACGTTTTGGAACTTCTCTCTCTCAAAACTTCTCTGAAAACGCATCTTTTGTCTTCTCCCTCTCAAAAGAACCTCTCTGACCTATCTCTGTGATACAAAGAAAATCATTCAAGGCAGTCCAACGGCTCTCTATCGGCTGTGTGAAGGAAGACGATCCGCACCTGTACGTCAAGATTTGCACTCGCCCAAATGCCTTCGAAGACCCACTTGCCTTCCCTCCATCAATACGCTGTTCAAGATTTGAGAAATCTTCCGCATTAGATGCACCGACACTGTCTATCACAACTTCTCTACCTCACAGATTTCCCCAAATCGTGCCCTAGCTTTGGTCTTAGTCAAACTGAATGAAATCTTCACACAATCGGGACTTGTAACATCAATGTCCTTCGTTTTTTTCTTCTGGGCTCTATAAAATGCAAACCAACTAGTGTCGAACCCCACCAAGACGAAGCATAACTTCATCATTCGCTGCAAAAACGGAGAGGCCGTGCTCAAAACTTCGTTGTGGACGGTGGGATTTGAGGGCCACCAAAAGCAGGCAAGCAAGAGGTATTTCTAATGCATGACTACTTTTTTTTTTTTTTTTAAATTTCATTTGGGTTTGTCAGTTTTGAACAATGTATTGACTGATTCTGGTAAAATTTTGAAATCGTAGTCCATACAGTCACACACCAGATAAGTTTCGAAATCGGTAAATTAACCTTAGCCTAATTTATTTGGTGTCTCATAGAACATATGCAGATTACAAATAGTTCTCTTTTTAGGATTAGCAATTTTGATAAGAAAATGGCTGTTTCTCTCCATTTTTTGTGAAAAGATGAATTTACACTGATTTCAGCCATGAATTTCGTTCCATGGCAGTAAACAATGAAGGTGAAAGAATAATTTAAAGGTCCCTCAATTCTGCTGATATCATTTTCAAGCTCTCAAATAAGAAGGAAATTTTTGCCCGAAAATGCAGGATTTTGTGGTCATATACTGTAACATATCCTTGCATATCGTGCAAAAGCTTGATGCAATTTGTTACACTATCTTTGACGCCAGACTTTTGGGATATGGAATCGATAGCAATTGCTACACCACTTGGTTTACACCATAAACATTGGAATCTTCTTTACTTTATTATACATTTGCACTCTTATTTTTTGTTCTGTATCATTTTGTGCTGAATTGATTCCGGTGAAGCTTTCATTCTGTAGATTAGTAGGCTTGGTGTGTGTTTTGTGTTTGTGAGCAAGCCAAGTCTAACATAGCAGTTGATGAGTGTTGCTTTTGTTGTAGTTTTGGCTTTTCAAAAAATCTTTTACATTGAGAATATAAAAACAATGAGAAAATAGAAAATGCTGCACATATTTGATGTTGGAAATAGAAGATGCAGTTTTGATACATTGAAAAATAGCAAATGTGAGGTTACAAAACACTACTGATTAGGCTTGTAAATGAGTCGAGTAGCAGTTTAGAATGTGTTAAAAAGTTTGAGTTGTTTATCTTTTGAGTAGATTTTAAAGTTTTAATGGAGTAGTTTAATTTTTTATACAGTGGTAGAGTTTGCATAATGTTGTCAAGGCTAGTAGTTTTACTTGGTTGTGTTAGTGGCAATGGGAATGAGCCACTGCAATGTTTTCTCCATTTCAGCTTTTATTTTGGGAACAGTATGCTGCAAATGAACCATTCAAGAGAAGGCTACAGATGACCACACAAATTTTGGTCAATGCAAGTACCGCCTTTTTTCTAGTCATGTATGCATACATAAATTCTGGTCAATGCATACATAAATTCTGGTCAATACAAATTCTGAGAGCATTTATATCATCAATGACAGATCAAAAACTCTGTTTGGGATATTCCTACTGAAATGATCTAATGAACGTTTTGCAAAAATTAATTTCCCTATTTGGAGCAGCCTTTTTATTTTCTTCTTCAATAAACTTTGAGTTGTTCTATTGGCATTTTTCAATTATATTCATTTTTCTACTTTTGTTGGCATTTTAGAGTGGAATTAATTTAATTTTTTATTCTACTAATGTCAAAAATACAAACTAGTGTACAAACATTGTCAATGTTCTTTAAATTTAACCAGGGAACCAGCTAAAAATTCTAGATGGTGATCTCTATTGCATGGGCTCAAAAAACAACCCAATAGTGTGTTTCACAGGAGTGGCATGGTTCTCACAATCTGACCCAGTTTTTGGTTCTGTATCAGTTAGTGCTGTGGAGTCGATGTAGTTGGAATGACAATTCTCTTCAGTTTTATAAGGCAAAATTGATTTAGAATACTGGCAGGATTTAAAATTTAAACTATGAAGGTTTGAATATTGTATTTCACATATGTTCACTTAGAATAACTTCAATGATTTTTCGTGCATTGACCAGAAATGAATGACTAGAAAAAAGGCGGTACTTGATTTGAAATATAAATTTTGCTCATGTATGCGTACATAAATTCTGCTCATTCTGAAAATTCTGCTTTGATAATTCTGCTCATGTATGCCACATAAATTCTGCTCATTCTGAATTTTTCATTTTGATTTTAAACCAGGCCAACTTTGTACTCCACGGTCATTGTTCAATACACCAAGGGCTAAGAGGAAGAGATCACCTCAACCATCAATCAATTCCTCCACAGCTGAAAACGATTGTCCTTATCCGGTAAACTTTTGCACGCGGAATCTCATATTAAATATTTGTAATATTCGTAATGGCTATTATTATGCATATGCTTCATGTCACGTACTGCCAAACTTTTACTGGAACTTAAGTTGTTCACATAACTATAAACTGTAATTTGTTGCACTTGTATTAGGCTAGAATGGCTAACGATAATGACGACTTTAAGATGTGGGGGTCCGAAATTGTCAAGATATTTTTAGAAATATTGGTGGACGAAATAAAGAAAGAGGGTCCTTCCAGGTCAAAGAAAGATAGGAGTTTTTTCCCAAGGCAGTGGCAAACAATTGATGATGAGATGACTAAAAAGGTTGGAAAAAATTATGGGCAAAAAAAATTGAAGGGTAAGTTCGCGCGTTTGAAGGCGAACTACAAAGAGTTTGTTGCTCTGAAAAACCACACGGGTTTGGGCTGGGATCCAATCACTCAAACAGTGACAACCCCAGATGATGTTTGGGAAAATTATGTTCAGGTAATTATTTGGCGCATACATTTAGCATAACCATGTGCATAGAGAAATAATTTTCTAAATGCTTAATTAATTAAAGTTTACAACTTGTAGGCACACCCAAATACAAAACAATTCCAAACCAAAGGCCTTGAACATTATGAGCTCATGTTAGAAATATTTGCCAAGTCATTTAGTAGGCTTGGTGTGTGTTTTGTGTTTGTGAGCAAGCCAAGTCTAACATAGCAGTTGATGAGTGTTGCTTTTGTTGTAGTTTTGGCTTTTCAAAAAATCTTTTACTTTGAGAATATAAAAACAATGAGAAAATAGAAAATGCTGCACATATTTGATGTTGGAAATAGAAGATGCAGTTTTGATACATTGAAAAATAGCAAATGTGAGGTTACAAAACACTACTGATTAGGCTTGTAAATGAGTCGAGTAGCAGTTTAGAATGTGTTAAAAAGATTGAGTTGTTTATCTTTTGAGTAGATTTTAAAGTTTTAATGGAGTAGTTTAATTTTTTATATAGTGGTTGAGTTTGCATAATGTTGTCAAGGCTAGTAGTTTTACTTGGTTGTGTTAGTGGCAATGGGAATGAGCCACTACAATGTTTTCTCCATTTCAGCTTTTATTTTGGGAAAATTATGCTACAAATGAACCATTCAAGAGAAGGCTATAGATGACCACACAAATTCTGGTCAATGCAAGTACCGCCTTTTTTCTAGTCAT